AAAGGCCAAATTAGGAAAGCATGCCTTGTTTGCTACATTAGAGAGGATCTGAAATCATTTGATGATGAGTCTGTACTTAATACAGAATCTCATGGGGAACTCATGTGGATTTTTGAGCAGAAACATGACATGAAAAGAGACTTTAAGGAAGATTAGTCAACAGCGATGGATTAAAGAAGAAAGGTCAGTTAGGAAGCTGCTGGAATAATCTGAGAAAGATGAAGTGTGAATCTGAACTAAGATAGTGGTCATAGGAATGAAAAAGAGTACATGGAGTCAGAAAAATAGTTGAGCGCGCTGGCAATGACGTTGATGAATTGCTATGTCATAATTACAGTTTAGCAATGTGAATTTTTATTTTGATAAAGTAGTTGGTTGTAGAGAAGACAGTATTGAATATATCATCTGCCAATGATGAGTTTTAAAAATGTCTTTCCTTGGAATTTTACATTTATGAGATAAAGGAAACAGAAAGCAGGTGTTATCTGGAAGCTTTGTTGGGTGGGGGATGTTTGATCAGCTCTGGCGGTTGGTGTCTCTAGATGTTGGCAAGAGGTCAGGGAATACGTTAATGAATTGTGTTTTACTCCCTTCTCACAACATTTTCAAAACCAAAGCATCTAAAAACAAAAAACCCAACCTGAAGTTTATATGTAGCTTCAGCCTTTCTAGTTGATTACATACTAGCCTTTGATTTGTAACTGAATTCTGATTTCATCCTGACCTACTTATGATATGAACCAACTTTCAAAATATACTGGTTACTTGATTTCTTCATCTGAAGGTTAGAAAACAATTATCTTTTGCCTCTGCAAAAGAATTATCTGATGAGTAATTATTTAACTGAGATGTTAAACTTCTATTTGCACTAAGTAATATTAATTTTACTATGATCAAATTAAGCTAAAAAGTGAATTTAGTCAACCTGGGAGCTCCGTGGCGTAGTGCCTAAGGCATTTGACTGCTAACCAAAAGGCTGGTGGTTCAAACCCACCATCCGCTCCTCGAAAGGAAGGTTGAGCAACCTACTTCCATAGTGATACCACCTTGGAAACTCAAGGAGGGGTTGCTGTGAGTCAGGTCTGACTCCACGGCAGTGTGTTTGGTTTGGTTTTGGGAGCTCTGGTACCATAGTACCTAAGGCACTTGATTGCTAACCAGAAGGCTGGCAGTTCAAACCCACCAGCCACTCCTCAGAAGGAAGGTTGGCAATCTACTTCCGTAATGATACTGCCTTGGAAACCCAAGGAGGGGTCACTTTGAGTAGGGTCCAACTCGATGGCACATAACAACAACAACAACAGGCAAACGCAGTTTAGAACAGATAAGACGTATGCATATATAGTAAAACCATATATTAAAGAAATACACAATTATTTTTCAGTGTCCTTAGAGTAATATGCATATTATACTTGGTAAAAATGTTTTGAAGCCTGTGTTATTTTTCCCTTAGTTTTATTTCTAAATTTCCAATGATCTATTTGTTGCTGTACTGTTTTTCTTAACTAGAAGCTCCCTGAGGGCAGAGGCAGTTTTTCTTTCTTTCTTTTCTTTCTCTCTCTCCCCTCCCTCCTTTTCTTTCTTCCTCCATTTATTTTGATGTAATTTCAAATGTACAGAAGAGTTACAAGAAGAGCACAGAGAACGCCCATATGCCTTTGCTCAGATTCACCTGTGAGTTACATTTTGCCCCATTTTCATTCTTCCTCCTACGCACCCACCCATACATACATACATAGTGACATAAACTCACTTCACACTACACCCCCCCCCAGCCATTGAGAATAAATTGCAGACATTTTGCCCCTTTGCATCTAAATTATTTACTGTGTATTTCCCAAGAACAAAGACAATCTCATTGCATCACCGCAGTTGTTTGCTGTAGTCAAGTGGATTCATGGTGACCCTGTGTGTGCAGAATCGAACTGTTCCATAGGGTTTTCAGGGCCAGGCTTGTCTTCCCAGTTGTCTCTGGGTGGGTTTGAACTGCCAGCCTTTGATCTGGCACTTAACCTTTTCTCCCATCCAAAAACTCCCTAGGAGCCTCCTTTAAATTTGCTTCATGCCTTGGCCTACAAAAGGAACTTTTTTCCTGGAGAATTTGTTTATCAAGATATTTGTATGTTTACCATCTCTTCCATAGTTTGGATTAATGTTTCTTGATGTCAAGGAAAGTATCAGTGCATTTCACATAGTACTTAGCATAATCCTGTTTATAGTAAAGTATTTTGAAGTCTTGGACCCTAAACAGAACTTGGCCTCCTTTCTTTAAGAACTACTGACTGATGGAGAAAACTTAAGTAGTGGACATACAAAAAGCAACCTTTCATTTATTTTTCTGTAACTTGCATGCTTTATAAATTAATAAAAGAAGCTATAGAGTGATTTTTTAAAAAAGAATAGGTTATACAGTGCAAAAGAATTCTCCAAAAGAAAATTTGGTATGTGTATGAAACAAAAGCATATAAAGAAAAATGAGGGATGGAAACATTCAAAATTTGGAGGAAAAGAACTGTATATTCTCACTGTTATAGTATATGCCAAACTAAGCCACCTAAAAGAATGAATAAAATAAAATAAAAATATAAAAGAATGAATAAAATAAAATTAAAAATTAATCTGATTTCTAGATGGAGAAGAATTTATGTATAAAGCAGTGGAAAATTAACCAGGAAAAGAATTTATACATTTGTTAACTTAAAAAGTAAGCTTTTTGCAGTACCTTAAATACGTAAAATTTAAAAAGGCCAGTCAATGAAATTAAAATACAAAACCTGAGGGAAAAGTTCTATGTACGTACATATGGTTAATATCTTGATTTCATAAATAACTCACAAATTAATTTTGAAACCTTTTTAGCCTTTTGATTTATTAAATTTAATTTTTTATTTCCATTTTGGCAGTTTATAACTGATAGGATTTTGTTCACTGCAGAACTAAAGGGCCTGTGTTCTAATGATGTAGTTGAAGATCAGTCAGTATCTTGCCCTGGGCCCCATTCAGATGAGCAGTTCATGGCCTCTGTCTCACATAGTCTCACTTCATTTTACATTATGCTGCGTCCTACTTCTCTCCATTTCCTTCTGTGCTCTGACTTCCTCCGTCCTCCTTTTTTATGGGTCCTCTTCCTCTTTTTGTGTCCTAACTAAATTGGACAGAATTTTTTTTCTTGTTTCTTTTGTCTGATCTCGATTTCCTTCCTCTAGCTTTTGTTTTACAACAGTTTTATCTTGCACAGTTGGGGGCACTCCTTGAACCTGGAAGCCTTCTTTCCTCTCCCCTTCTCTAGTGCTTGTTTTCTTTAGAATTATTTATCAGATTAGAAGGTGTTTTTTAAAAACCATTTTTGTATGAGAGCTTTTCAACCATAAGTGGAAATAAAGAACCACCGTTTCTAAAAGAAATCTGAAAAGAAGCGTGGAATTATGGTAATAGTGAAGGAATAAGTGGGGTATGTTAATCAGGGGATCCTAATGCTACCTAATTTCTTGAGTGATTTAGAGAGTACTCTTTTTAGGTTGGGAGCTCTGGTAGGGTGGTGCCTAAGGCATTTGACTGCTACCCAGAAAGCTAGCGGTTCAAACCTACTGCACTCCCCGGAACAAAGATTGGCAATCTACTTCTATAGAGACACCACCTCATAAATCCAAGGAAGGGTCACGGTGAGTCACAAAAGACTCTATAGCAGTGAGTTTGGTTTGGTTGGATTTCTTTCTAGTTTAGGACCCTGGTGGCATAATTGGTTAGTCACTTGGCTCCTAACCACAAGATTGAGGGTTCAAAACAAATCAGTGGCTCTGCGGGAGAAAAGACCTGGAGATCTAGTCTCATAAAAGACTGCTGCTTAGCAAACCCTATGGGGCAGTTCTTTTCTGTCATATAGGGTTACTAAGAGTTGGAATCCGCTCAGGGCACACAATGACGACAACTTCCTAGGTATTCTGCCTTAACTAAATTGTGGTTAGGCAAAACTGTTTTGCTTAGCAAATCCTGCATGTAATTATAACACAACACAGTAACAGTTTTCATACTTTTGTGGACATAAGCAATACCTGGGGAGACTTGTTAAAAATGTTCCATCCTCTTGAAATTATTTATTTCAAATGTCCCATCCTCTTGAAATTATTTAAAAATGGGCAGGCCACTTTAAAACTGAGTCTAAAGAAACACCACAGGTAGTTTTGCTACAGATCATCAACAGATCACATTTGGAAAAACAGTGGCCTATAAGATTAAGTCCAGACTTTTGGTATGGTTTATAATTTTGCCCCTACTTCCACTCAGTCCTCATTTTCCACAGTTGTCTACCCCACATTCTATGCATCAAACTTGGTAAACTCTTTAGAATTCTCAGCATGTCTTACTACTATTTCACATGTTTATCCTGTGCACATGGTGGTCCCTCTGCCTAAAATGCCCTTCTCCTCCTCCATTGTTTAGATTTTTATTGAAGCACCTCCTTTTACCCCATCCCTTTCAAACTGAGTCAAGCTACATTGTTCTTCATTGCTCCCCTAACATATCTCTGTTACAGCATTTAACACAGTGTTTCATCACTGTTGATTTCCTTATCTTCCTCTACTAGACTATTGCTTCCTTAAGGACAGAGGCTGTCACTTTCATGTCTGTACCTCCAGTGTCGGGCAATAAGTATTAAAGATTGTCTTGCCTCTCTGGATCACTGAGTTTACTAGCCTTAAAGAAATGCTCTAGTGGCAGCTCCACCCTCTGCCTTGTATTCTGAGAGTTTTTGTGTGTTTTATTATACAAAAGCAAATTCAACATGTGTTACTGAAGGAACAAAAAGAGATTAGTAGTAAATAAGACATAGCTATATGCTATGCATTGATTGATTGCTTGATTGCCATTACTGAAGGAACAAAAAGAATTAGTAGTAAATAAGACATAGCTATATGCTATGCATTGATTGATTGCTTGATTGCCATTTTCTAGGTATGTGACCTGTAACCATTCATTCTATACAAATGTCTGTATTTCAGATGGAGCAGCTATCAGATGAAGAAATTGACCATGGTGCTGAAGAAGATAGTGACAAGGAAGATCAAGACTTAGACAAAATGTTTGGAGCTTGGCTTGGGGAGCTAGACAAACTTACTCAGGTTAGAAGTAATGCTTAAAAAGCTGGTTGAGGGTTTGAAGTCATCACTGTGTGCTACAATTTTAATGTATGTTGTTGTTGTTGTTGTTATTTGCCGTTGAGTCGGCCCCGACTCCTAGCGACCCCTCCTTGGGTTTCCGAGGCAGTATCACTATGGAAGAAGGATTGCCCAACCTTCCTTTTGAGGAGTGGCCGGTGAGTTTGAACCGCCAGCCTTCTGGTTAGCAGTCAAGTGCCTTAGGCACTATGCTACCAGGCCTCCTACAATTTTAATGTATAGACATAAGATATGGACATAAGTTAAATTTTAAAATACTGCCAGAAAGGAAAAATGTTCAAAGAATTAACAAGTAAATGGATAGTAACTCTAGACCACAAGGTATTGTCTTCTGTGGTTATTTTAAGGAGTGTTTTAAAAAATATTTGTGACAAAGGTTCTGTTCATCTGTTTCATAAATTTGAGATTGCTAGTTAAATAAGCTTTAAAGTCTAAATTTTAGCATATCCAATCCCATAACTAAGTAAATTTGAATGCATTTCACAACATGAATAATTTCCTCTCATGCAAGTATTTTCTCTTAAATAATTCCAGAATACTGAGAAGATTTTATTCCAGGCTGCATTTTTAAACAGTGGCAAAGCTTTTTCATTTTGTTTTATTGGACCTTGGGGGGTTTTTTTAGGGAAAAAAAAAAAAAGAATGACCTTATCCTCTAAGCCAGGATACGTTTTAGAGTAAAAGAGTATATGGCTAATACACTGTGTTCAATAGATGAAGATTGTCTGTGCTTATTAAAATAAATGTAACTTCATGATAGAGTAGGCATTAGAACAAAACTTAGTTTCATTTATCTTTAAAACAATGTCTCTGGAAAGAACTTTTACGTAAAACTGGTTGTGAGATTCTTCAACTAATTGGAAAATAAGGTGTTATGGTGAAAGTTTTAAGTATCAGTTTGTTTCTTTTAACTATCCCTGTCCAACCAAACCAAACTCACTGCCATCATGTCAGATCTGACTCCTAGTGACCCCTCCTTGGGTTTCCAAGGTGGTATGTCTATGGAGGTAGAGTGCCCAACCTTCCAAGGAGTGGCTGGTGGGTTTGAACTGCCAGCCTTCTGGTTAGCAGTCAAGTGCCTTAGGTATTAACGGCACCAGAGCTCCCAACTGCTGCTATCCCTGTAAGAGTCTGGAATTGAAACCGATACACTCACATAATTCTTGCTAGTTCATTTTGAAGGGCAGACATTTCTTCTGTGACCATAATCTGTTGATAATGAATTTTGGGGAGTGTATTTTCAGTACTACTAGGAGTTCATAGGGGTCATTCATTGCTTTTGTTCTCCAATAAGGAGGAGTAACATCTGTTGTGAGAAAAGTCTTTTGTCTATGGTTACCAAATCACTTTATTTCTTAATTTTTTAAAACAAAATGATTTTGACATAGATAGGATTATTAGACCGTGCAGTTCTATGCTGGGAAAAAGGAAAGAAGAAGCAAAGTAGAGGAAATAGAAAATGATAGTGTGTGAAAGAAAGTCTGCAAGGACCAACTGACTTGTTGGGATGTCCTCGAATGTGTGGTTTTATTGTCTGAACTTGGGAAAGGGCCCCCCAAAAAAGAAAGATGGTTATCAGTCCAGTGCTGTAGGTTGAGTAAGAGCTCCATGCTTCTGCACTGTAGGTCTGGAACCTTAAAATTTTTGCTTTCTTGAAACACAGGTCTCAAATTTAAAAAAAAAAAAAAAGAAAAGAAAAGAAAAGCAACCCTCCCCCCCAATACCCTAAGTTTAAATTCAAATTATAGAGTTAAAGTTTGGATAGAAACTAATAACTGTTAACATACTCTTCCTAACACAAATGTGAGGTATTACTCACATTTGGTAGTTGGCTCTGGTAGTATAGTGCCTAAGGTGTTTGACTGCTAGCAGTTCAAACCCACCAGCCATTCCTCAGAAGGAAGATTGGGCAATCTACTTCCATAGAAATACCCCCTCAGAAACCCAAGGAGGGGTTGCTATGAGTTGGGATCAACTCAGTGACAGTGAGTTTGGTTTTTTGGTTAAACTAAAGTTGTGACTCTTCTCAACATTATATAAATCTGTTTTAAGAGATAAAATATTTATATATGTATGTTATGTTGTTGTTATATGCCGTCGAGTCGGACTCGACTCATACCGACCCCTCCTTGGGTTTCCAAGGTGGTATCACTATGGAAGTAGATTGTCCAACCTTCCTTCTGAGGAGTGGCTGGTGGGTTTGAACCTCCAGCCTTCTGGTTAGCAATCAGGTGCCTTAGGCACTATGCTACCAGACCTCCTTGTGTATGTTATTGCAAAAACGACAAGGAGGCCACATGTTCTGACCTCCTCTAACCCTACGAGGGGAAGGCAGGATTACCAGCAGTAACCCAAGGCCTATTACTGCCAGGCCAGACATGTTGCCTCCCTCCAGTCCTTTCTCCAACCGTTCCTCCCAGAGCACCCACCACCTCTCTCCTGGGTTCGATAATTCACTGCAGTGGCCACACAGAACTCACAGATTATAGGGTTTATTAGGGAAGCACCAGGCTACAACTCAAGTTCAGGAAGAACACTCAGTCTCTCTCTCAGCCCACCGTCCCTCAGCCAAGAGTCTCTCACAGTCTCTTTCTCAGCAGTGCTGGTCCCTCGGCGTCTCACTCAGTGATGCGTGTCTCTTGTGTCTCTTTCCCAGCAGCACGTGTCTCTTTCAGGGGTGCGTGTCTCTTTCAGCAGCACGTCTTCCTCAACCAGCAGTCAGAGAGACAGTTCTGCCTCTAGGAGGCCTCCTTTTGAGCCCGGCAGGGTGGTCAAACTAGCCAATCATAGCATCAGAACTCTAAGCACGTGAGAGAGAGTGGGAACTTCCCAGAACATTGTATTGTGCCACGCCCAACAGAAATAACCCAGGTGGGCGACTTTAAAATCAGGATCTCCTCCGTAGCTAATAGCAATTCCCACCTTAGAGTTTACAAAGACTTATGGGTAGAAAAGCCACACTAAGTAATTTACTACACCGCAGTTATACATACTCAAATTTTATATATTATAAATAGAAATGAAAATAATTAATTTGTATTTAAATGAGCGGATGCCAAATAGCTACTGACCCTTTCCCTGAATTTCTCTGTTGTAAACATCTTATTTTCCTTATTATAGAAAGATTAGGGAGACGAAGTGCCATTAAAAAGGCGGTGAGATAACTTAAAAGTCACCCTTTCCCTGAAGTGCAGTATAATTATACCCTTGTTATAGACAGGGCTTGGCAGTTTAGCTGGATTATGGTGCCCCTATCTTGATAGGGCTTGAAAAGAACAAGGATATTCTGTCATTGTTTGAAGTTGTAGCCACCTCTCTGTTAAGTTCTTGAGTTTCATTAATTTTGAACCCAGAGCTGCCTGTTATCATCAGGGTGCTTCATGCCAAGAATGAGACTGTGCTGGACCAAAAACAGATTCCTTTGAGGAAAGAGATAACAGGGTTCTCTGCAGGGTTCTTTTCTCTTACCATGGTATATCCATATGCCTAGCTTATTTTTAGTGAATATATGTAAAATGAAAGTCAATCGTTATACATTAAGTATTTGAAAAGATATTTACTCTGAACTATGTTAGTCTCAAGTGTTTGTATGCTTTGAAAGTAAACATATATTTAAAAATTGAAATAACTACAATCAAAACTATGATGTGAAAGCCATTTATACTTAATGCTGTTAACTTAGAAGAACATTGCTTTTATTAACTATGTGACAGACGATTCGTTTGATCATGCAGCAAACTTTACTTACCTGTTTGTGTACTTGAAGCCTGAATTGAATACATCACTTACTAAACATTCTTTTTTAAAAAGAGTTTAGATTCTGACAAGCCCGTGGAGCCGGTAAAAAGATCTCCTCTTCGCCAGGAAACAAACATGGCCAATTTTTCTTATCGCTTCTCCATATACAACTTGAATGGTAAGATGTAATTAGAAATAAAATGTAAAGCCATATACTAAGTTATATAATGCAGAAGCAGTGTAACTACAGTTCCCAATAAACCAAAAATCAAACTTACTGCCATCAAGTCGATTGTAACTCATAGCAACACCCTTTGGGTTTCCCAGGCAGTAAATCTTTGTGGAAGTAGATTGCCCAGTCTTCCTTCTGCAGAGTGACTGGTGGGTTTGAACCACGAACCTTCTGGTTAGCAGTCATATGCCTTAGGCACTAGGCCACCAAAGCTCTTATAGTTCCCAATGTTGTTGTTATTTGCCGTCGAGTCGGCCCCGACTCATAGCG